AAAACGAATCTTTGGCAAGAGAGTCTTTTTTACACAAAAGCTGTCGTTTGATAAACCTGGTATTAATTCATTAAATGCAATATGCGAAGAAAATTACATAATCCATAAGTGTTCACGATTCTCCACATTAGAAGTCAATGATAGTCGGGAGAATGCTGAAGAGGAAGTCTTATATTTTTCTTGTCTTCGAAGGAGCAACAGATCTGTAGATTGTAAAATTCATCTCGTGTGTAACATCGAAGGTTGTTAGGATCGGCATCACCACTGGTGAATAACAAAGTGCCTCAGAGTTGCGCGAGAGTTCTGGGAATATTTGGTGAAGCACAGACCAGAAGCATAAATGTTCCAGTTGCCATCGTTTCAATATGTTAATAAATGTGGAGTATGCTATTTATTAATAGAATCTAGAATATTTTCCATGGTCTATGAACTCGGGTATACTAGTAACACATTTAATTTCAAAGGGTCATTTAGAGAATTCTTTATCTTTCGAGATGAACAAACGAAAATACCTGCCTATTGAATTTCAACTTGTAGCTTATTTCAAATAACATACAGCTTATGTAGAAAGATGTTTCGGGTACTGTAGTCTAACAGTTCTGTATATAGACTAGTCTGGTGTGATTTCTTAGCCGTGCAGGAATATCTCTCTAATATCACTGTTAGGTTTGAAGAGTGTAGTAGATGATATGCCAGCTTTCGGGGCAACGTAAAGTTGAGCTCAGCTTAACTTTTTCAAATGGGCTCAACGCTTAATTTACCATACCATGTAGAGCGACTGTGGTTATATTCTACCCCCTAACACCGTTCTTGTGAAATAACACTGTATTTATTTATAGCTCACAAATGAAAAGAAAAGCGATGACTAAACGTCATGCATTTCTTGAACTACTTAACGAAGTCCCAGAGGTCGCTGAATTTTTAGCATGCATGACTATCGAAAGGTCGAACTAAATTATTCTGGACTTAATAAATTTCCAGTATGGGCTCGGTAATTTAAAGGGAATACAGTTTTATGGTGCTTAACTCTGTGCCCATATCATCTGAGATCTACTATCTACTATCAATTTCGGATAACTGTACTGATGACATCAATATCAAGCTCATCATCATGATCCACTTGCACTTACGTAATGTCTCGGTGCGGAAACATCCTCAAAGGCATGCCAGCAGTACTGACATTCGGTAACGAAGCATTTTTGGTGGAATTAAGGTATTTGAACTAAACGTCACTCGAAACGTGTTGGAGCTTACCAATGAAATCGCATAGAAAAAGTTAGATTTAACGGACAAACTAGTGCATTTAGGGCAGACACTTCATGCAGAGCATTGTGTTGATAACCGTTTGATTCACTTTAACTGGGCTACATGTACTGAAAACTTAACAACAATAAATCATGGGTGTTTGGAGACCTTATAAATGATTTAGTGATTAGATCTACGGTCACGACCCCCAAGACAGTTACCGAGAAGGCGAAAATTCTCATCCTGTGACAATCACAATCACATAATCCTAGATCCAGTGTAACATAAGTGTTTAAGGGACACCAAAAATCTGGACAATAAGGAAACGTTTGTGATGCTCAAAAGTGAAATGGTTGGTGAGTTTCAAGGAACTCTGACTCAAAGGATATTTCGATCAATAGGAAGAAACGGAGGTAAAAGCGCCTAATTTCTGAAAGTCATCTTTATTTAATGGAAGGCTTAAGTCCCGACATAATTGTTGTCACAGAAACGTGGCTCACCATAGATATAGACTGTTCCCACATCACTACAGGACACGTCTGTACTAGGAGTGAAGCTTAGAAATAGCAAGGGGGAGGGCATAAAACTATATGTTAGAGACTAATTTCGTGTAAAAATCGATCACGTTGGAGCCTCATGAGGTATCTATTTTGTACAATTAAGTCTAAACACGAGTTCGTTACCGAATGCGGAATATACCGTCGTCCACGTTGTCTTTCTGACGACTTTATCTTCAGTCATATCTGCTCTTGGAATATGGCCGAATTTTCCCTCATCATTGGAGATTTGAACACGCCAAATATTGACCACATAAGGCCTACAACTTCAGGTGGATGTCTCGATAGAAGCCTGCTACCAACCCTTATTTGATATACACTTGTACAACGTATCGCAAAACCGACATATATTGACCGGGAACATGGACCGTCATTGCTGTACCTAGTCTTTACACACCACTGTGACGATGTCATATACATTCGACACCTCTTTTCACTAGCAAACGATGATCACGCTAGTCTATACCTCAGGTTTCGAACACATGGTATAAAGCATTTATCTGCTCCACTCGTACCAATATCCGGTGATCCAACATTCCGGCAATCAGAGACTTTTCTATTTTAACAGATCGGTCAATAAATGCAGATGAATTGATCACAAACAAATGGGATATGTTTAAGGCCACATTCAATCCCGTAACATCACCGTACATCACATGGTTAACACGAGGGCTACCACATCGCTCTTCGTAGGTCGACAACGATACTCAAAAAATACTGAGACGTAGAGAAACGTCTGTGACATGTTCTTGTCAGCGGGCCACAAATCATTTAAGTGTTAATACCGAAAAGTCTGAAATATATGCAAAAATACTATAGCTAGATCTCGCACGGCTTATGCAAGACAGTGGTCATATGATAGCCATACCTGCCCAAAACAATTGCTCTCGTACATTAATCAAAGAACAAAGCGTAGTGGTGGCATTCCTCTATTACTTCTGCAAAACATTTTAGATACACTAGCTGAATAAAATCTGGTGGAAGCTGATACCTTATCAGACTACTTCAGCGAAGCCTAATCTGCAGTAGTGTTAACAATAGTTGTCATATTCACATCACTTAAATACCAACTTTAAGACCTAGTAAGATAATGGGTTCTGTTGGGTTACATTCACGATTTCTGTCAGCTCTCGCAAACATTATTTAAAAGTCACCCATAAAGCTCTTTAACATGTCCCTTTCCCACATTCAACATCCTAGGGATTGGAAAGATGGTACGGTAAGTCCCATATTTCAAGTTGGTCAGAAACAGAAGGTGTTTAACTGCCGACCCACCGTTGTAAATAAAATATTATTTACTTTACTTTAAACTAGATTTCGGCTTACTTATTTAAGTTACAGATAATCAAACGCACTGTTAACTGCCGAACAGCACGGAGGTCGAAACCAGCATTTATGCCTAATAAACTTACATATGGCGAGAGTGGAACTGAAAGCACTTCTGGTTAACGTTCTGTCTATCGAAGAGATTTTCATAGACTTCAGTAGAGCACTTGACATGATTTCTCATTGTAATATGCAGAAGCTCCAAGGATTCTGAGCAACACGTGCTGTACACGGATGTTAAAGAAACTCGTTATATGGCCAAAGATAAATTGGAGGTAAATGGGATATTATCTGAGTGGAAGCCGGTAAAAAGTGCGATACCCCAAGGCATCAACTTAGTTCACATACTTTTCCTTCTCTGTATCAACGAATTACCGCGACTGCTTAAATCGTTAACATTATTGTTCACGAGTGATATCAAAATCTGGAAAACAGTAAGATGTATGTCTGGTCACTTTCACTTACAAGATTAGCTGGTAGAATTAGTAAGATAGCCTCATTGTTAAGGCTTGGAAATTGATTTTAGAAGGAATGTCCTCATGCACATCGATTACAGCAATAATTATCAGTAGACTTCATAAGGTGCATATCTCCTACACGTGCAGGACACTCAAAGCCTTAGGGGAAATAGTAAGTCACGACTTGAAAACAGCTACGCACTGCAATGCGGCAGCTGTCGAAGGTTTTCCTGAGTTATGATCACTTCGCCTTACGTTAATAAGCATTGAAGAGATGCTTCGAATTTCACATACCACATAAGTAAGACCACACTTAGAGTACTGTATCCAAGTCGCTGATCCATGCCTTATAAAGGATATTAACTCACGTGATCATGTTCAGCCTGTGTAAACAAAGTTAGTGAATGGAATTTCCAAACCTCATTACTATGAGCGCTTAATACTCTTGAAGCATCTCCTCTTATCGTCTTGCAGAATGTGACGAGACATTACATCGTCATTCTGTACCTTTAATTACTATTTGGGTGTTGATATGTCGTAAAGTTTTGTTACTTCAATCACTAGTAATCTTCGAAAAATGAGATCTGATTAACACAGGGTGAAGTCCTGTTTCTTTCATCGAGTACTCAGTGAATGAAACGCATTGCCCGAACAAGTAGTTTCAGCCCTATCACTGAATACTTTCGAAGAGAAGCAGTAGTTTCGCTGAAAAACACTGTAAGGATTAACACAGGTTCACCAAAATATTATCCATATTACCACATCTCTTTGTCATTACTTCCTATATTTCACCAAATCTCATTAACCAGAATCTTCGCCTAGAGGATTCACTGATTCACTGTCATTAAGTACGGTGTTTGTCAAGCGTGAACTTTATTGTTTTATCCACAACTATTTGATGCACTTATATTACATGTCATAAATTCAAGTAGTGTTGGAAAATCTCATTTTTATAATCATCTGTAATGTAATTCATAGAAAATTTACACAAGTTTTAAAGTGAAATAGTTTTAACGACTTCAATACCTCGAACGTTTGTTCGTGCTATTAGATGTGTACCTTCAAAAGCGCCTGTTTTAAATTCCGCGAGTACATCTTTTCCCAAGGTCTCTTCAAGGTCCTCTCCAACTTTTCGTTTCACTCAGATTACTAGATACAAAATATCCAGGAAATAATGTTACTTCAATTTCCCTGTGTTACACCTAACTACAGAATTCGCTTATTTTTTTAAAACTCGTAGAAGGAGTAATAATTACATACAATTGTTGTTAATATTTCTCACATGCTTTAATATCTGGCTTGGAAAATTTATTTGAAGAGTTTTATACGTCATCTGAATTTGTCTGCACCGTTTATTAACATTCATACAGTGTGTATTTTGTCGCACTTATGTGTAAATTTATTTGAACCATAAATGGACATAACCGTCAACGTTCCCCCTGATTCAACTAACGGTACACTTGAAAATGTGACTTCTAAAACCTTCGACAAAACGTGCTCTGACTCTCACAACAACAATAATTCCCTTCCGACGTCATCCACTGCTTGTAAAACACATTTATATCAAGGAGTTTATCTACCTGATGACGATGGATCTATTCTCACTCCGGAACATGCCTTTGTACAGTATCAAACCCGGTCTGAAGATCAAGCCTGCCAGATTTGTGGTCAGCCAGCTGTCGGATTCCACCATCGGGCATACGTTTGTGAGGCCTGCAAGGTAATTGTTTTAATGTGTTGAGATTAGTCTAGTTACCTGGTGATTTTTTAACTAATATCTGTCCTTGTATTTATCAATAAAGTACTCATTTATGAGCTAAATAGTGAATACGGCCGTTTGACGTCAACTGCTTGAAATTGTAGTCACTTGGCATTATTTAATTGTAGATGTATTTTCAAATGGGATTACTGTAAACTTCCTGACTTCCAGTCATTCCCCATTTATCTGTTTAAAACTCTTAGTGCTGATGTAAGGAAGATTCGAAACATAACTGCACAATCTGGGATACAAACTCGAACAATGAAAATGAAAAAATAAGATTACCTCACTTCTAGTTTTTATGTGCTTTTCGACAAATACACACTTCTTATATCGCTTAATTTTTGTATGCTATTCAATGAACAGATATTGGCTTAATTTAATTGAGTGAATGCTTGATTTGTAACCGTTTAAGAACCTTAATTTGCCTCGGTACTTCAGACTCGTAACATCCGCAAACTCGCCTCTCCGTGTGTGTTTGATTTCAGTGTTACGCTTTAAGGCTACTCCGTAACAGACTACTTATTTTACAAGATTTAATTTAGTACATATTTGAATACTTGTGAAAATATATGTGTTGACTTGTTGTCTTTCTAAGTAAATTTATTATGGTACTACTTTAAATCCATTCCTTCTTTGTTGTGTACTAATTCCTCCCATATTTCAGACAAATATTTGACCATAGTGATCTGTCCTCACTTGTGAAGTTCATTGTTTCCATAACCCTCACTGCATATCTAATTAGTAGTAGTTTTGATAGATAAACTGAAATGTTTTGTGCTGTTTCTCTGTGATAACAGATATGAAAACTAAATAAGTTGAGCAATTCTGTTTTTAGATTTACATCTTAGCTATAAAATGTGAAGGCCATATTAATAGATTGTACTATTCATAGTAGTCATACTTTAATTAATTGAAATTTATTTTGGTACAAGTGAACCTACTTTTACAAGTGAATTCTCGGTGTGTTGTTTTTCTTGTTGTTGATACTTGTAGAAAACACATCTACCAACTTTAGTTTTTAACACTCCAGAATCGATTCTGTTTTTGTATATACTGTTGATTTTAACTTTACTAGGCCATCAGTTGTTGGCCAGAGTTGAACATGCTTCGGAACCACACTTTGGCTGATCAACTGAATAGTAAATTTTCAAACTAAAAATCCCATTTAAGTCTCACCTACATAATAATGTTACATATGAACATAGTGTTTCGGAATAAATTTCCAGAAGTCCTCAGTCTCTTCTCAAAAATTGCACTTAGAGTTGAAATAAGCTCGATAATGTCATTCAGATGGACAGGCTGTTATGTTGTAACTTTAACATGGCGATACTTTACTATCATTAATTCCGTGATCAAGGCTAAATAGTCTTAGTCGCGTTTTTCTTAATATAAGCGTTTATGAAGTTTTCCAATGAATATTTTGCAATCTTTTACCATTTTTAAATAGTGTCACAAGCTCAAATTATTATGTTTTTTAGATAAGCAATATTATAAGGTGGGCTGTTTCAAAGTCAACACGTCAAGTGCTTATAGTTAAACCTTTAAATTTTCCGGTCATGTCCATTTTAATTGTAACAAAGTTATAGTAAGTGCTTTTGGTTGATATGTGGTTCCTAACAAATACCATAAAATATTAGTTTAGAAAGTCACTTTACCACTCGCTAAGATCTGCCGCCTATTACTTCACTCACTATTATTTTCCAGTATACTACTTGAAAATCTAAAAACGTACTCAGTTTATTTTTAACCTTCTCGCTTATAGCATATTACTGCAGTACATTTTTAAGACGTCGATGGATAAAATACTATTCAGCAATAAACTCTTAGCTCTGTTAATAATCACAGATAGACAAGAAGTAGTTTATGATGCTACAGATTCGAAAATACGGGGTGTATAAATCCATCCATATATTTTCAGTCACACTACTTCGTTATATAATCATTTTGTCTGCGTTTTTTCTAGTTGTAGGGTATCTAATAAGATCTGATTTTTACATCGGCGTGATGGTACCTTACTGATTTGAAAATCTCCGATGTTATATCCCTGAGAACTATTTAAATATCTGTTTTTTAACCCAAAAGCACAGTTGAAGTTTTCTGTGATTCTGGCTAATATTTAGTTAGCTTCTCATCTCATGATTAAGGTAGTACATTTCTTATGGAATAGATATATCCTAATACATCCTCAATCTCATCTGAAATCTGTGGATTAGTCAAGTTTATTTAGTGATTGATTGGGTTCCGGCAAGTGTTCTATTATTTGACTGAAACATTAAAATAGTTTTCAAAATAGCTATGCATAAAAGTGGTGCATAAAACCCGTGACTGTAAATATAACGTTTATGAAAGACGATGAGTTCTTGGTGTTCGTTGATCTATTTTCACATACATTTTGGTTACTACTTTTATTGCCTGACTATTTCTGTATGTCAACTTTTCTCCCTTCCTCAGTGTTGATACGTATGACAAACAGGGCTATTCTGCAGTTGCCATTTTCAAGTCTACAGAATAATTTTCGATTTTCTTGAAGAAATTCTCTAAAAAGTATATGTTTGCTAATTTCTAAAAAAACCACTTTTCCGGTAGATATTCATAAGCCTATTATGTTACAAAAGAGTTATACACAGTGAGATAGACTATCTTACTTTAGGATTATATTTAGAGTGCTAGGTAGATATATGAGGTAGTTAATAGTGTGTGCTTGTATGAGTTAGTGGTTTCTTAGTAATAACTTTTTGATTTTCAACCATCACGTTTTTGACTGGAACCCACTTTGATTTGAAGGGTTATATAATATCATAAACTCTCACACAAATTGTGACTTGTTGTTTTAAGTTATATTAACAAAGAAACGTACATCAACAAATGTGACTGTTGCATGTTTGGTAGTTAGAGACTGAATGACGGCTCGAAATCGTTCTCAATGGCACACGTGCATTCATTCTTTTCCTACCTTTAGATCCTAAGTTTCTAAATCTCGAATTTTTTATTGACTTTACAGTCTTTTCTATTACCATTAATACTGTTACTACTATTATTACTGTGTGATTTTCCATCTCTCTGTGCTAATTCGGAACCGATGTATACATGTATCGCGCTCTATGTTGCGTTTGACTGGTTTACCTGGCATCGGTAATCAGGAAGAACTAGGCAACAGTTTCTTCCCAGTATTAGGTTCCTCAGCAATGCGCATCCACTTCACTCAGAATTGAAGTTCAGAACTTTCATTTCTCGCAGCAAACGCCTACCCTCCAAAATCACTGACTTGAAACCCAGTGGTGCAGTTTCAACTTCAATTAGATCGGTAAAATGGCACGATGGTCATCGAATGTGACTGATGGAAAAACTGTTTCATCCTCGGCTTGCCTGAACTCTACCAATCACCAGTGGTATTAAACAATCATCGAGGTATATCGCAAATTGATCGGAGTCAACATCGTGTTATTGGGTATTAACTCCTTACTCTAAATGGTTGCGTATTTGTCACGATAGCTGAAAATTTTAGTTCTGGTTCCCGATGAGTTGGTGGGTGCTTAATACTAAAAAGTATCATACTAGAACAAAAATAGCTATCCTGTTTCCTCTAATTTTCTCCAGTACTTTAAGTAACATATCTATCTGTGACGAGTACAACCTAGAACTCAGATCGATATCTGCAAAACCATTTTAACTAAAATATATTGAAAGATGCCGTGATTAGTTTTGGTTAGTTTTGTTTTTTCTTACTAAATTCATCAGATTCAATCAAGAGTGTGTGTGAGAGAGAGAAAAAAAAACTCGTTATTTCAGCTCACCATATCATCGTCTTTCGTTTTAAATACTTTCTAACATTTCTACCGTTCAATGTCTAATCTCTGTCATGTGTGTGTGCGCGTTTTGAATTTTCTTTCTGAAAGTTTAAATTGAACCAATATTTTGTTTTCCAAGTGTGTTTTAGCTACTTGTTTAGTTATTTTGATTATTATACTGCTGTGAAATGTTTGACAAACCAGAACAGTTTCCGAGTAGCTTTATTTATTAAAACTACAAATAAAGTAAAGATTGTTAATGTAATATGAAATACTCTTTATATTTTTGTAAATTATAATGCGTTTTATAGTTAGATTTATTTACTTAGAAAATTCATTTAACAACATAAACAAAGAAGAAAATACACATTTTCTGAGAGTAACTTAAATAGATTAGTGTTATTATTCTGTAGTTGTTGGTTGTTTCAAAGACACCTGTAATTAAATACCTGCAGTGTAAGTATATTTAATTTTATAGGGTATACTGATTCTGGAGTGTTCTGCTCAAAGCTGGATAGTTTGATCGTGAAGCTTTCATTGTTCTTTTGAAAAAGTTCTGGTAGAAGTGAAGTATTCGAATTCCTTCACATATGACTCACAGCTTATTCTGTCGATCTCGATCTTGGCTGGTTGTTGTTAACCCTTAATCTGTCATTCTGTGTATCTTAATTTTGATTGTCTCTCGCTTTGTTCTTGTTCTGAGTCTTACGGTTGTCTATGATTTCGATGTGTTTGTTGATTGCTGATTGGTCAACTGAGCGCCAAGCTTCTAAAAATTCTCTAATTTTTTTAGTACTTCTTTTATCCAAGATTTGTTTACAGTTGTGTTTTTAATTTGCTTTTCATTTTGAACTTCTTTAGAGAATTATAGACTTTGATATCTTATGAAGAAGATGTAGTATGTATTTCTCAGTTTGATCCAATTAAATAAAATGAATTTTAATTGATTATTTATGTTATTTCGGTATCAGGACATATTTTCCCATATTATCTACAAGTTTGTTCTCTTTATTCTTGATTCACATTCAAAATTGACTAAAACTATATATGAAAAGATCATTATAAGCTTTACATAAATACGAAAACAAAATATTGACTTTGGTTTTTTCTAATGTCTTAGATTGTAGGTTTAATTGTATTTTTCTCTTCGATCTGGATTAGTAGTTGTGT